GCACCACCGTGCCTGGCTAATTTTTTCTATTTTTAGTTGTTTGGCTAATTTCTTTCTATTTATTGTAGAGACGGGGGTCTCACTCTTGCTCAGGCGGGTCTTGAACTCCTGCCCTCAAGCGCTCCTCCTGCCTTGGCCTCCCAGAGTGCTAGGATTACAGGCGTGAGCCACCGCGCCCAGCCTAGATTTTTTAAAAAATCAAACTTAAGGGAATTCTCTTCATTCCTAGTTTTTAAAAGTTTATAACATGAATGGTTGTTGAAATTTAGCATATGTTTTACTCTGGCTATTTGACTTGATCATATAATTCTTCTACTCTATTAATAGGTAAATTACACTGATAAGTCGTTTACCATTAAACAAATCGTGCATTCGTGGAATACACTCGTCTTGGTTGTGATGTATCATTTTCTCTTTTATGTTTTCAGATCTTGCATCTTTGGTCATCAGTGAGACTGGCCTGTAACTTCTCTTTCTTACAATTCCCTTGTCAGGTTCTAGAATCAAGGTTTTATGTCCTTGTACAAGGAGGAGCCTTTTTTCTATGGATTTTGTTTCTTTTGATGTTCTAAAACTATATAGATTTTCTGTTTCTTCAGTTTAGATAAGTATGTTTTTCAAGGAAATTTTTCATTTTTACACAAATTGGCATAAAATTGTTCCTACTAACTTCTCATAATAGTTTTTATGTCTGTAGGATCTTTAGCAATGTCCCTTGTTTCATTCCTGATGTTGTCACTTGCTCCTTCTGTTTTGTTCTTAGTGTTCTCTCTAGGAGTTTAATTATGCCTTTCAAAGAAAGCCCCCCGCCCTCCCCCACTCCCATCTGCCCTCTCCTCTCTCCTCCCCCTTCCTGCTCCTTCTCTCTTTTCCCACACTCCCCTCCTCCTCTTCCTTCTCATCTTAGCAGGAGTGACCCCAGCTGTGTGGACCTTCTCCATGTTCCCGTTGCTCCCAGTGGAATGCTAGGGCTTCCTCAGCCCTCGGCCCCCAGCCCAGCAGCCTGGGCGTAGCAGGCGCTTCATCGGTGCAGGCTGAGCTGAGTCTTGACCTCTCCACTCACCTGCAATCCACCACGTCCGTCCCTGTCATCCTCATGGCTTTACACTTAGCCGTTCACACCTTGGTGGCACTGTCACCATCCAGCTGTATAATGCCTCCTTTTCTTTTCTGGAACCTGTCTTCTTTTCCCTTTGACTACTTACGGGTTTCTGGCAGTGACTGGCATCTCGTGCACTCTGTGCTCCCTGGGGTTTGTGTTCTGGGCCGGGGGCTGTTAGTGATGACCATCATCTCCCAGCTCAACTCCGTCTGCGCCATCCGTTTCTGTTAGAAACGCCCGAACTGACACATACTGCACGGTGACCGTGCACAGCAGCCGCTGCCGCCCTGCTCGGTGCATCCCGCGGAGCCTCAGCTTGTGGCAAACCGCCCGCAGCCCAGGCCTCACATGCACCGCTGCCTGGAAGGGCTCCGCCTGTCCTTGGAGAGGTCTTTCTTACAGCTTTTTCTAGGCCTGTGCATCATTTCTGCTCAATACAATGAAAATTCCTCTTTCTCATGAGAGTGCTTGGAGGAGGCACCTCAGGTTGTTGGGTCTGCCCTGCTTGCTCACCAGGTGTGTTTGGTTTCAGGTGATTACGTTCTTGAAGAAGAAGGACAAGTTCATCAACCTGGTGTTGAAGCACATTGGCACCTCGGCTCTCATGGACCTGCTGTTGCGCCTGGTCAGCTGCGTGGAGCCTGCTGGGCTCCGGCAGGAAGTCCTGCGGGTGAGTCCCAGAGTCCCTGTCCATTCCCTGAGAGAGCACCAGGGCCTTGTGCCCCCAGCTCTCTGCCCAGTGTGTGTGTCTGTCCTCTGCCCTTGTCAGGGGCTCCTTCTCCATCGTCCCGCCTCAAGCCATTCCGAAGAGCAGAGAGGTCTCTGGCCCCTGCTCTGTGAAGAGGAGACATGGGCTTTCCTCACCTGCCTCCCTTGCACTGCCAGCACCGCCCGTGGCGTAGAGCAGAAGCCCAGTGAGGTGCTGGCTCCGTGTCCTGGCACCTGCCTCTGAGGACAGGCCAGCTGGCAGCACGTCCAGGCAGAGGCCTGTGTCCTATTGTCCCTGCAAAGAGGAGGATCCTCTCCCAGAGAAGACCAGGAAATCAGTGCTGGAAAAAGTTGTGTTTGCTGTTGTTTGGCAGGCTTTGTTTGTAATGCTTTTTAAGATAAAAGGAACCATTGGGCCTCCTGCCCACTTCCTAGCTCCCAGACTCAGGGGTCGTCAAGGTGGCAGCTCTCACTGTCAGGTTCATGACTCACTTCCTTGTGGAGCAGCCTCTCACGTACAGTGCGTGGTGATGGCTGACGTCTACACGGCGCAGGCAGTGTGAGCATCAGCTCCTGCCGTTAGCTGTGGGGGGGCCTGTGTAACTGCAGCAGCCTTTTAGCCGCGTGACTTTGCTCAGTTTACAAAGCAGCCCTGTGGGGCAGGTCATCCCGTTTTCAGATAGGGAACTCGAGGCACAGGGTACGGCAGTGCAGGAGGAGCCAGGTGTGCCTGAGCCCTAACCCTAACCCGTCACACTTGGACCTGAAAAAGCGTCACACGCTGTAGCCCTCACAGTGCTCCTGTGGCCTTGCCAGGGCTGCTCTGCTGTGCCGATCCTGGCATAGCCCCAATGCCCAGGGGGCAACAGAGCCTTGTCTGGCCTTGGTGTCCAGCTGGGTTCCCGGCTGCAGCGCGTTTGGGCTCATTTGCACCTTGGTCTTCGGAGAGACGTCCGGAAGACAGAGCTTGCATATGCACTTAGGACAGGTGGACATGCTCCTTACGCCCAGCTACTCCCGGAGTCCGGGCATCGCGTGTTCTTTGTGTCTCTGGTCTGGGTAGAAAGGCGTGTCCAGCCATCTCTTTCCCAGGAGCCTGGGTGTGTGGATTTCTGCTGTACTGAAGGACTTCCCTTCTGTTTGGTTAGATGTGAACTGTGACAGTGACAGGCCTTTTTTCCCTTCCAGTGGCTTGATGAAGAGAAGATCATCCAGAGCCTTGTGGAATTGATCCATCCGAGTCAGGACGAGGACGTGAGTGTGATGCCCACAAGCCCACCTGCATGCCCAGGAGCTGCTGGGTCACTCACTGCTGCTGGCTGTGGGAGAGAGGGAGGGGACAGTCACTTCTTTCCTCAGATGAGGATCATTTTTTTTTTTTTTGAGACAGAGTCTCACTGTGTTGCCTGGGCTAGAGTGA